TTAGAGCGGCTTCGAGGAGCTGCAAGTGCCACTGAACCCCGGACACAGAGAGCAATTTATGAGATGGGATTGTCTGTCATGAATCCTGTGCTCCGCCTTCAACAAACACGAGGTATTGTTGAAGGCTCAAATATATTATTTCGAATGTTATTTCAGAATCTCTATGAACTCTACTTAACATTTCAATACAGATGCTGCACGTTATTATCTTTGTCTCCCACGTTATCTAAGTATTTTTTATTGCTTAGTCTGCAGTAATTTATCTACTTCTGAAATTTGTTGTGGATTGGGTGGATGGGCAATTATCTTACCTAGAGGCTCATGAAACAGCTGTGGTTATTAATTTCTGCATGAGTCTTCTACAAATATATTCATCACACAATATTGGAAAGGTAAATCTGTTCCCCCATCTCTTCCTTACATGGACTGAGCGTTATTGCTTGAAAGCAGTCAAAAGGATTGTTTGCGTACCCTCACATACACTTGTGTTTTTTCCACCTCAGATATCAGTGTCCCTCTCGAGTACCTTGCTTAATGAAGCGAAATCCGAAAAGTACAAGGATTTACGCGCTCTGCTTCAGCTACTTTCCCATCTATGCTCAAAAGATATGGTAAACGGTCTTGCTATATAAAATAATAACGGTTTTGCAGGTTGATTTTTCATCTGACAGTATTGAGGCACAAAGCACAAATTTAATTCTACAAGAATGGTTTAATTTGTGTAATTCTTTGAACTTACAGGTGGTGTACTTTGGTCTCCATATAATCACACCACTTATCACTTTGGAACTCCTTAAATATCCCAAGCTTTGTTTCGACGTAAGGCTTTGCATCCACCATTCACCAAACTTATCGTAGTACTCTTACTGCTAAAACTTTCACTAAAGTGATCAAATTCTGCAGTATTTCTCGCTCATATCGCATATGCTCGAGGTTTCCCCCGAGACCTTCGCACAACTCAACAGTGACGCATTTAATCATGTACTTACAACAGTTGACTTTGGTCTTCATCAGCAGGTGAAGTGAATCTTCTTTACATAGATAATATGCAAATCCCTTTTGCTCTTGTTTTACAACAATGTTAAAAGTAAATGTATTTATTGATATGCTCATCAGGATGTTGATATAGTGACAATGTGCCTGAGAGCTCTAAAGGCTCTTGCTTCATATCACTACAAAGAGACAAATGCTGGCAACTCGGGTTTGGGTTCACACGCTGCTGGACACACAGATCCAAATGGACTATTCCACGAAGGAATACT